CCATAACCGCTTCAAATGACGTATAGAGAAAAGTAAGCTAGTGCTTACATTATTTAGGCATTCAATAAGGATTTTTTCGTTTGTAGATAATCACAACAATTACTTAGAAAATTTATTGTAAACACTATTGTCACTGTATTGTCACTAAAGCCCGTTCAGTTTAAAATTCTGAATTTTCAGCGTCAAAACAAGGTCGCCTAATTTGGCCGTTTGTGTCAGTTTGAACACGTTGAAGGTTTGTTGGCCTAAAAAGGTGGTTAGTAAATTTAACTGCATCTTGTAAGGTTCTTTTAGTAATAATGCAAATCTCAAAGAACTCACTCTCAATAATCTCTTATCTATTCTTCAGAAAGTTTTTTTTTTTTTTTTTTTGTTTTTTTTTAATGACTTATAATATAAAATTCGTAATAATGTAACAAATATTAAATACACCAATAGTAAACTATATCTATAACTGGCAATTTTATAATAATATATAAATTATGAAAATTAGGAAATGCGAAGTCAGTGAAAAAAAATTTAAATTATTCGTATAAGAAATTAATTCATAATTTTTTAGAAATTATTATTTGTAGATCGTGAGGTGCGGTCTGGTATCACGTAGATTTTAGAAAAACATTTTCTTTATCATGCCAACGTTTCGATCTTTATTGAGATCATCTTCAGGGCCTGGGATGTACAAACATTGTATAAATTTAACAAGTACATGTAGAATGTGGAAAAAATCAATTTATACAATTCAAAAAAATTGTTTATAATTAAAATTTTTTTTTCATTATATAAATTCAATTTTCCACATCCTACATGTATTTGTTAAATTTAAACAATGTTTGTAAATCCCAGGCCCTGAAGATGAACTCAGTAAAGATCGAAATATTGGCACGATAAAGAAAATGTTTTTCTGAAACCTACGTCACACCAGACCGCATCTCACAATCTCAGAATAATGATTAACTATTGATTTTCAAGCCTATCATATCACCTGAGGTATCGAACCAGGAAATTTATATGATAGCCTGGTCTATAATATCCTGGAACTGTATAAATTTTGTTTGAAGAGTCATCAAAGAAATCTTTTCGTGAAGTGATAATTTCGGAAAAGAAAAAGGTCGGCATCGGCCTCGGTGTTCTGAAAGAGTAATTATTTGCCGTTTTTCTTATGAGGGTGAGAGAGGGAGAGAGAGAAAGAAGGAAATTGAAGCGGGAGCACCGAACAGATGGGTTGCCGAGGGCATTGTCGGGATTTCAAAGGCGATTTGCACGGTCCACCTCCTGAAAAGTGAAATATATGGACGAGCCTGCGTCAGGGATATTAATGGGCCTGGAGAAGGTTAACAATAACTAGGCGTCAATAGTAAAGGCCGGCAGATTGATGACAGAGGACTATTATTAATAGTGTCCGGCGAGAGGGAAAATTGCTCCTGGGAGCCGCCGGGATCTTCCCTCGGCTCTCCTTAAGACAAAGACAAGTAGACCGTGGAGGAAAATTAGACGCGCCCTGAGCAGGAAACGGGACAAAGGGTTCATTTTCATTTTTCCGCGAGCTAACGATCGGAACCGATCCAGTTTTCAATCCGGGCCGGAAAAAAGAAGAGGGTTGTTACTTTATAAAATGTTTTTATCATAACCGACACCGGATACTCTGAGACAGGTAAGTTGTAACTCGAGTCAGATCAGCTGCCACTTCCGTCCAGGCAAAAACCCTTTCTAGTATACTATTACCGGGAATGGTATACGATGTCTTTTGATGACCGCTGTAACGGTGATGGAGAAATCGTGTAAGGGACTTATGACCGTACCTCGTAAGTGTTTTCACGCCCTGTCTCGATTTCTGGAGAAGCCGTGTTTTCCACTTGTACAATTAAACTAGCTTGTTATGGAAATAAAAGTGAATGCAGTGCTTTTTATAATAAAACTCACGATCTAGAATCATGACCGGCGAGTTCGAACAAAACCCTCTTCAACGAAGCACAAGAAATACAAAAATGAGTCGCATCTTGAATAGAATGATCTATGTAAATCAGGACACATAGTGAGGACCGCCCCTCCAAAACCGTTGCCCACCATTTCCAAACATTTTCGAAATTCAACTGCCCAGAAGAAAAAACAGTCCTGTAGTATGACCGAGTTTCAAGTAGGTCAAACTCTTCTCAAGTCAGTTGAGAGATCAAATATCGGTTACATCTGAAAAGTTTCAACCAAACAATACAACATAATGAATTCTAACAAATACTACACGAATGCTTTTTGGCATTAAACGGTAAAATAAATAAGTAATAAGTTTATTGTAAATTTATGAACATACGTATGGATGGTATATATTATATAATAATAACAATGAAAAACTTCACAACTTGCTTTTTCTATATATCCGATGTACAAACGGCTCAGTATATTTCACCATGTAAACATTATCGCTGGAAATAATGAATTTGTTCCACGTGAAAATAGTCAAATTTATTTAGAAATCGTGAGATGCGGTCTGGTGTGATGTAGGTTTCAGAAAAACATTTTCTTTATCGTGCCAACGTTTCGATCTTTATTGAGATCATCTTCAGGGCCTGGGATTTACAAACATTGTTTACACATAACAAACAATTACATTTTGGATGTGGAAAAGTGAATTTATACAATGTAAAATATATTTTTTTATATATATTCAAATACTTTGATTGAATATATAAAAATATATATTTTTCATTGTATAAATTCACTTTTCCACATACAAAATGTAATTGTTATATGTAAAGAATGTTTGTAAATCCCAGGCCCTGAAGATGATCTCAACAAAGATCGAAACGTGGCACGATAAAGAATATATTTTTCTGAAACCCACATCACACCAGACCGCATCTCACGATTTCTAAATAAATATCGATTAACGGTCACTAATCACCACATATAGTCAAATTGTTAAGATAAAACTGACAAATACAATACTCGTATAATGCCAAGCTGGATTGAGAAATTATTTTTTTTTAGAACGCTGCTCAAGCATTAAAAAACAAATGAGCTAAACCTGTTAATCTGGCGAAAGCAGTTAACGCCACGTGAGATTTGTAAAGACACATTTTAAATGTTTATCGAATAAACAAAAATTACAAAACATTACCGTGTGCACGAACTTAAAAACATTACTGCAAAAAATAAATCACATTAACTAATATTTTTCTTAAGCAAAATCGTAATTCTAAAAATGTTATTAACATAGGTGAATAAATATATAAGGTTTTGGAAGGAAACCGTGGCACCTGCTGGCCTTGAGGTGTTTCTTGTAATGTGCGGTGAATTATTACCGATGTCAAATGTAGAGGACAAACAGACAATTAATGTGGAAAGAAACCCAATGCAAATTAAAAATGATAGATATTTCATCAAGTCAACAATACTTAGTCGATCTGAAATTCTTTTATGCTCATAGTCTCAAAAACGTAGTATTTTTATTTTGGACGTCAACTGCTTTACATCAACGTTTTGCTACGAGTATCAGTTATAAGTTTATTTTAAACTATTCAACCAGCGTTTCAGGCTTTATGCGGACACGAAGGAGAATTAGAGCCCTAGTGGATTTACGATCCGGCAGGTCTCGCTTAATAGTGACTGCAATTGTAATAATTCACCCATAGCTGCCTATATTTAAAAATTATCGTTGTTCATTCTCTAACACCGTATCTTATTGGAAATGAATTTCATAAGTTCATACTTTGGTATTTCGTTCATAATGATCTTTTTCAATAGTATTATAATGAGAAACATTTAAATTAGGATATTCCAAATTAAATTAAACATATAATTCTATACGTAAGAAAAGAGACAATGTTAAATGTATCATGCGTAGTTAACAACAAATCAGTTTCTTAATTTAAAATAATTTTAATTCGCCTGATAATGCAATATTTTAAAAGAAATCGTGAGATGCGGTCTGGTGTGATGTAGGTTTCAGAAAAACATTTTCTTTATCTTGCCAACTTTCGATTTTTATTGAGCCCGGAAGATGATCTCAATAAAGATCGAAACGTTGGCAGAATAAAGAAAATGCTTTTCTGAAACCTACATCACACCAGACCGCATCTCACGATTTCTGAATAATTATATTTTAAAAATCTATTTTTTCATATGAAAAACAGTAAACTTTAAACTATAAGATATTTTTATTAAAAAAAAAAAAAAAAAAAAAGATTAAAGCCCTCGATTTTATAATGAATAATTGGTTAATTTCATAAAATATGTACAGTGAGATAAATAACGATTATTGTGTTCTGGAAATGATCAAAATTATATATCGTCACTTTGGAAGAAATAAGTCTTTATAATTAGTCGAAAAGAATAGAATTATTTAGCTATTCATTCAGGGTTTATTAATTTCAAAAGTAAATTAGTTGTTTTTTAAAGTTTTCTTTTGTCTTAAGCATTTTGAGGCGTGTTTACAAATCTAGGCAGGATATCATCTAAATATCTACCCACTATAAGTTTAGCCTTAAAAACAAATTATTAACCATGCATTATATTAACTTAGATTGTTGTTATATTATCACAATACGTAAAATATAAGAGAAAAGATATAGAAATATATTTTATGTTATAGGTACTGAGTTATTGTAGCACTTCGTTAACATTTTGGCGGGATATTTCCATGCAAATGTTGAATATTTTTTAAAAGAGTACTAAAACATATGAGTATTACCATAGAATATACTATTTTTCTTGTAATCGTTTACTGTTTTTTTAAAAGCTAGTTCAAAATTGTACTATACATTTTGTTTTATTTTAATAATCTTTTCATTTAGGTTTCTTATCAAATATGAATAGATTATTGTAGATTATTTTTCTTTGGCAGTATATAAACATAAGTTAGATACGGAGAAAATAAAAATAAAAAGGTGATAACCTGGCGGGAGGTTTATACACACGGGGGTTGATTTTTGATAAGCGGCCGGACCCGGCCAGGGGGCATTCGGGGTGATTCCTTGGCTAAGATAAACGACGGAAACGGTTCCTACCTTCGAATCGGTGGCGGCGGGCTGTCGGCAAATAGCTGGCGTACACTCCGTACTTGGGTCCACAGAGTTCGGTGAGTGACTGAATGGCAGGAGGGTTGTAAAGCATCCCTTGAAGCGCACGCACCCTGGCAAGAGACGTGGAGGGGATGCTTCCTCATTCATTCTCAATTTTCCAAACGGCGTTTACACATTCAACTGCGATTCGCGAATACGGAGGCCGCATTCTCCTCCGTAAACGGCAGGTTGACGAGAAAACGTGGCAAAAATCGGTGATCATCAACTGTCAGTAGGTGCCTCACAAAGTTACAAACAAACTTACATCTGTTTGTCCTGACTATTAAGTCCATCAAATAAAACTAGGATTTAAAGTTTTCAATTCTTTTGAAAGAAGAAATAACATTAAAATAATTAAAAAACAACTTCATCACATATTTATTATATTTAAATTGTATATCACTACTAAGGTTAAATTAATTTTTTCAAATATGATTGGTGAACTATGCAATATGTTTTTTCTGGGTTCATCGAGCCTCGAGACTACATTCGGTTTATACTTAAAATTAAAATAAATTTATCATAGTATGAGTAGTGTTAGAGTCTTGCCTTCTTCTAATGAGTCTGGGGATGTTTAAGCCAAATTAAATAAAAGGAAAAAATAGAAGAGCTTAGATTATCGCAATATAAATAAAGACATACTTAATAATTATAAAAAATAAGCACAACTTTTTAGTGGAAATCCACCATCCATTTAATAAATACAAACAGACTGAAGGTTTCATCAAACTCATTAGATTTCAATTAATTAATCTTTATATAAGGCATTGGGGGATTCGAACCCACGACCTTCGGCTAAATGCGCCGCTGCTCTACCACTTGAGCTATCGTGACTTCAATCCACTCCGAAGCCGAAGTTCGTGGGTTCGAATCCCGCTCGTGACACTGACTTTTTTATCTCAACCAAAGCCTCACATAAAGTTTAATCAAACATTCAAAGCGGACTGCTGGTGGCTTTTCGCTGGCGAGTCGGTGACTGATCGCCATTCGATTAGTGCGCTGGGTCTGTACACTGTACGCCCTTGTATTTTAAGAACGCATATTGGCCTTATATTATCGTCAGCGAGGAAAAAAGGCAGCAAAAAAATAATAATTGAAAAATAAAATTCCTTGCCCAATTAAAAAGTTAAATAGATTGAAAAGAGGCAACAAACTCGTAGTAAAGTTTCAGTGAATGGGTTGAGTAAAATTGAGTGGGAAAATGGGGGTGGAAGGTAGATCATTGTCACCATCCCCCATCCCCTATCCACACCTACATGATCCCTTTTGTGCCCCGGACAAACCTCAATTAAGTCTATTGTCCGCACAGGTTTACAGCAAGTATGCTTTCCCAATGTTGGAACAATCTGTCACGGCTCATTTAATGTCTTGGCCACGGCGTGGATGGCTTAGGGTTAGCACAAAATTGTTTATAAATGAGAAAAATAATTTTAATGCACTTATATTATACTTGTGATAATGCCATACTAAAAGAATATTTTTATATTTTCTAGCTATTGGTTAAATTCATAAAAGAATTTATGAATGAATGAAATAATTTCCTAATTCACAATTAATTATAATGAAAAAATTTCCTATTCAATTTTTTATATTAAAAAAATGCAAATGCTCCCTCAGTCTTGCTACACTAATTTAATGGGTTATTTAAAAAGCTTTACACATACAAACACACTGTTTAAAATAATTGTTACTTTTGATGAAAAGTAACTGATAAAGAGTTCTCTACTTTCTCCCAACCCAACCAAGTATTCTATATATTGCACATCTATACAAGGTGAGAACCACTCGATTCATTTAGGAGGAAAAGTAATAAAAACATGGAAGGATATTCGAAATAAATCTACTATTCAGAGAGGGAGGACTCAATTCGAAGAGGTACAGAAGCAATATCCTGGGGTGCTAGGTCTGCGAAAGACCAGTCAATTGACTTGAAACGAATATTTTAAACGAAACGTACAATAGACAACATGCGGACCTGACGTAAGTTTCAATTAAGTCTCATTTAAAATTTGAACTTAATTTATAATCATGTGCTGATCCGGCTGGGTGGTCAGCTCAATGAAGTCGACTACGATATTGTACACATAAACAAGAAAAATATAATAAAAAAGTACGAAGTACAATAAAGGGACAATGGTCGCTTACGACAATATGAGAATGTTTTTGAATGAGAACGTCTAACAGCCTACAACTTTATAGGTTAGGTGATGTATCTATTATGAATGAAAGTATAAGGACAGGTCAGATAAGAAACAACACAACATCAATAACAAAAGAAATTTATTGGTCTGATTTAATTAACGCGTATTTAAGAATAAAAATACGTATCAACAAAAAACAGCTGTTAAATTCATGGCTGCCATGTCGGTTACCTTCGCCCTAACGGATAGCAATGTGACCACATTTTCGACCTAACAACTAACCCGTTACAGTTCGTGGTGCAATTAACATTTTTCAATTCATTAATATTTGTGAAAGGTGTTGGTCGAAAGGTTGGGTTGAGATGGCAAGTTGGTGTCCGAGCGGATCTAAGTCACGATAGCTCAAGTGGTAGAGCAGCGGCGTATCAAGCCGAAGATCGTGGGTTCGAATCCCGCTCGTGACACTGACTTTTTTATCTCGACCAATACCTTTCATAAATATTAATTAATTGAAAAATGTTAATTGGTCAATCGGACCACGAACTGTAATGTATTTAATAATTAAATTGAAGTACATCTTGACGAAACTCTCCGTGGCCATTTCATTTGTCGCCGGGAGTCAGATAGATTACACGGCTTTTGAAGAAGGGCAAAAAGGAGGGAAATTCGAGAGGTGAGGTTGAGATGGCAAGTTGGTGTCCGAGCGGATCGAAGTCACGATAGCTCAAGTGGTAAAGCAGCGGCGTATTTAGCCGAAGATCGTGGGTTCGAATCCCACTCGTGACATTGACTTTTTTATCTCGACCAATACCTTTCATAAATATTAACATCATTGGCCGTTGCCTGTTAGATCGAGCAATGTTAACTAGCCGATTTTTACAGGTCTACGTCATCATTTTTCTCATTGTAGCAGGACATAACAGGGTTAACACGAAGATCGTGAATACCCCTATAGTTATACACTTTTCACCTTCATTTAGAGTTAGATTTTTATACAAATTTAGTGAAAGTAGGGGATCCCAGGCGAAGAAACAATACAAGTGTCGCCCCCCTTTTCCACTCTCGGCCAGGGGTGAATTTTATGCCGGGCGCATCCCCCTCGTATCAGAAAAGGAGCATGTCAAGAGATATTTTACGATTTAGCAATCGATATTCAAAAGTTTGTGCTGAATAATCCGAAACGGCCATGTCCTCGTTTGTCCGGCATTCATCCCTGGGGATGAACATTTAACACGCGTTTAAAAATATCGGGACAGCTGCGTAGATATTAGGAGGGATATTGAATGGCGAAAAAATATCGGAGCTCCGTGTCCGTAGCGGCAAGGGAGGTAGCTGGAGAAAGACAGCAGATGCGACATAACTCAGTCAAACTTGACGTCTCACACAACTGCTCCGCCCCATTAAAGTTATTAATTACGATACCCTTACCTCTCACTCTCTCTTCCTCCCCCTTCTTTTGTCCTCTTCTCTATCGCTCTTTTCAAGATTAATGCGGGGCCAATGTTTAACAGTGTTATTTATGACAGTAGGAGCCAGCGATTAAATGTGTCGTATCGGCAGTCGTATGACGAACCACCGGCCCACCCCGGCAATAAATCAGCCTACTGATTCTCAAATCGGCCCTTCCCTTTTACTATATACAATTCTCAACTTCCCTTCAGTCTGATAAAAAAAATAATAATACAGCGCGAAAAAATTTGTCGAAATTTTCTCCTTTTTTCAAGAAAAATAATACTTATATAAATCACAAGTATCACTAGAACATTAATAATCTGTATAATAATATGACACGAATTAATCAGTAAATCAATCTTATCAAAATCTTCACAATAACTAATATAATAAATGATATAATCACATAATACAAATAATTTATCCGTGCACATAAAAATATCTTTATTTAATATAATTTTTGAATGATATCATATTAGCGCACAAGAGTACGTATATATATCATGTATGACCAAAACCTTTGGGGGAGGGTACGGAGCAGAAATTCTAGGGCGACGGTGGGAATCGAACCCACGACCGCGAATCTACTAACCTGACTACAGAGTCTATAGCGTCTGACACGCAAACTACTACAGCACAGCTGCCGTTGTCTCCCCCTGACATCTTACAATACGATTCCATCTCATTTTTTATTTACTTTTATGAATTCACAAATTAAAAAAAATTAAAGTTATTAGTTTGTTAACCGCCAGAACTCGTTCTGGATGTTTTCCATTAGAGGCTTTTCCTGTATCGTTTACAAAAAGTTAGTTAAAAAGTATGTATAATTAATAACAACGTGTGTGGTGATTAGTGACCGTTAATCGATAATTATTCAGAAATCGTGAGATGCGGTCTGGTGTGACGTAGGTTTTAGAAAAACATTTTCTTTACCGTGCCAACGTTTCGATCTTTAAATTCACTAATTTCATGGTCCGCTTGACCAATTAATATATTATAATTACATAATTAAGGTTTTTAGTTGAGATGAAAAAAATTAATGGCACGAGCGGGATTCGAACCCACGATCTTTGGCTAGATACGCCGCTGCTCTACCACCTGAGCTATCGTGACCTCGGGAAAACTCATAAGGTGGGGTTGAGATGGGAAGTTGATGTCCGAGTGGATCGAGGACACGATAGCTCAGGTGGTAGAGCAGCGGAGTTTCGATCTTTATTGAGATCATCTCCAGGGCTTTAAATCAAAGTATTTCTACTCACTCAGAGAAAAACCCTTTGAGTGGGTAGAAATACTTTGATTGAATATATTAAAAAAAATATATTTTGCATTGTATAAATTCTCTTTTTTCCACATCCTACATTTATTTGTTAAATGTAAACAATGTTTGTAAATCCCACGCCCTGAAGATGATCTCAATAAAGATCGAAACGTTGGCACGATAAAGAAAATGTTTTTCTGAAACCTACGTCACACCAGACCATATTTCACGAGAATAATTATTAATAACAACGTTAACCACAAAAAAAAACCTATTTTTCTTTTAAAATATAAATAATTAAATATGTATATAAGACTACCCAATAAGCTACAAGATCGATAGAATGACGAAAATTGTCTTAACAGTCAGGTATGTGACTGTCGGCGTTGGTGGTTGGTGTCCTTGTGTTAGTCGTAAGGTTATTTATTTATAATCTTTTAATTTCATATATTATTAGTACGT